AAAATCAATTTTTGATTTATTTTTGCCTCACAATTTCCCATTTAAAAACAGGAAGATGAAAACGATCACCAGATTTAATTTTCTTCCTTCTTCCTTTTGTAAATAAAGCTTTCTTTAATTCCATTCTTTGACGAACTTTTTCAATTTTCTTTTTACGAATAATTCTTTGACGAAGTTCTTGATAACTTTGATTCCTTTTTTTCTCTAATTTTTTCATAGAACTCAAATCACCAACAACATTTTTAGACATTAAATTTTCAATAGTTGGCCTATTATAATGATTATCCAAAAATTCAGGTAATGTATTAAAATGTTTTGCAGCATCAAAATTTAATGCTTGTTCTTCATCATCCAAGAAAATTGTATGAGTGGATTTTTTTTCATTTTTTGTAATTGGTTTCCCATGAATAAAATGAAGCGAAGATTGCAAATCATTTATTTTTTTTTGTTCGTGAACTTCTTTCATAGTAAGATAACTTATATCTTGTGTATTCATTAATTTTTCTTCTTCTTCGGAATTTTTTCCTTTTTTTCAGGAACTGGAATTCCTTTGATTGTCTTTTCTCTTTGCATTTGGAAATAAAACTCATTTGGATTTCGAAAATAAGCCTTTTCTTTTAATCTTTTGAGTGTTCTTTCCTTTTTATGATAATCTACTGCTCTTTTTTTATAATCTTTTTTTTTCTCAAGAAAACCAAGTTTTTTCCTTTCTTTTGGTTGTGTTCTTTCTTTATGAGTTCTACCAAAAATTTTTTTCATAATATATTTTTTTTTAAAAATGAAAAAAATGAAAAATGAAAAATGAAAAAAATGAAAAAAATAAATTTTTTTGGTTTTTCTTTCGATTAATTGGTAAAATAAAATTAATGGAATTGAGAAAATCCAAATTGGGAAATATTTTTCTTTTATGCAATTCATTTCATCAATTCCACAAACAAAATCTGGCCAATTGACAACATAATCAATTGCAGCTAGAATTGCGATGAAAAAAAGAAAAAAAAGAAACCAAGTTATTTTTTTAGGATCAAAATAAGATTTGGATTTTGGAAAACGGGAAAAAAAAAGAAGAATAAGAACAAGAATTGATTGACAAAACAAAAACAAGTTGAATATCATTTCAATGTCAAGAATTATCAAAGTCATTCCAATACTTTTTTTTCTATTCTTGGGGTTGATTTTTCTCAAGTTTGTATAGAAAAGAATTAAGCTTAGAATTCCTGAAAGAATATATCCAGTTGAGAAAATGCAAAGAACCAAGAATTTCAAGTAATAATGGTTTTGGTTTGACAGATAAGCTAATATTTTTGAAATGAGAAGAAAAAAATGATCTGCATTTTGGAATGTTAATTTTTGAAAGACATTTATTTCTTTGTAATTTTTCGTGTTTTTGTTTTTTTGATCAATTTGATCTTTTTGATCTTTTTTTGTAAATCCAATATTTCTTATTTTGATCATGAATTCTTCATTTTTTGATGTTATAAAATATTGAATGAAAACAAATCTAAAGTATAAATATAATCCAATTATTATTTGAATGATTCCGATCATCAAAGATATTGTTTCTGAAGTTATTATTAAAACCAGAAGTCCTTCTATTGATAAAATTGCAAAAATAGGAGAGGAAAGAATTGATTAAAAAAATGGAAAGAAAATTTATAAAGGATTTATTTTTTGGGATCATTTAAAAAAGAAAAATGGAAAATGAAAAATGAATTAAAAATAAAAAATTAATTAAAATATTTAAAAATAATAAATTAAAATAGATTTAAAATTAAATATAAAATTAATTAAATAAATTTAAAATATAAATATAAATATATTAAATTTTAAATAAAGATTAAATAATTAATAATAATAAAAAATTAATTAAAATAAGAAGTTATTTAAAAATATTTATAAATAATAAATTAAAATAGATTTAAATTTAAATATAAAATTAATTAAATAAAAAGTTTTAAATATAAATATAAATAAATTAAATTTAAAAATTAAATAAAGATTAAATAATTAATAATAATAAAAAGATTAAATTAAAATAAGAATTTATTTAAAAATATTTATAAATAATAAATTAAAATAGATTTAAATTTAAATATAAAATTAATTAAATAAAAAGTGGAATAAAATAAATAAAAAATAAAAATTAAATAAAGATTAAATAATTAATAATAATAAAAATTAAATTAAAATAAGAATTTATTTAAAAATATTTATAAATAATAAATTAAAATAGATTTAAATTTAAATATAAAATTAATTAAATAAATTTTAAATATTAATATAAATAAATTAAATTTTAAAATAAAAGATTAAATAATTAATAATAATAAAGATTAAATTAAAATAAAAATTTATTTAAAAATATTTATAAATAATAAATTAAAAATTGATTTAAAATTAAATATAAAATTAATTAAATAAAAAGTGGAATAAAATATATAAAAATAAAAATTTAAATAAAGATTAAATAATTAATAATAATAAAAATTAATTAAAATAAGAAGTTATTTAAAAATATTTATAAATAATAAATTAAAATTGATTTAAATTTAAATATAAAATTAATTAAATAAAAAGTGGAATAAAATAAATAAAAATAAAAATTTAAATAAAGATTAAATAATTAATAATAAATAAAATTAAATTAAAAATAAGAATTTATTTAAAAATATTTATAAATAATAAATTAAAAATAGATTTAAAATTAAATATAAAATTAATTAAATAAAAATTAAAATATTAATATAAATAAATTAAATTTTAAAAATTTTATAATTAATTAAAGACAGTATGGCCTAAATAAAATTAATTAAAATAAAAAGTTATTTAAAAATATTTATAAATAATAAATTAAAATTGATTTAAATTAAATATAAAATTAATTAAATAAAAAGTGGAATAAAATATATAAAAATAAAAATTTAAATAAAGATTAAATAATTAATAATAATAAAAAAATTAATTAAAATAAAAAGTTATTTAAAAATATTTATAAATAATAAATTAAAATTGATTTAAATTTAAATATAAAATTAATTAAATAAAATTAAAATATTAATATAAATAAATTAAATTTTAAAAATTTTGTAATTAATTAAAATAAGTATGGCTAAAAATAAAATTAATTAAAATAAGAAATTATTTAAAAATATTTATAAATAATAAATTAAAATGTATTTAAATTTAAATATAAAATTAATTAAATAAAAAGTGGAATAAAATAAATAAAAATAAAAATTAAATAAAGATTAAATAATTAATAATAATAAAAATAATTAAAATAAGAATTTATTTAAAAATATTTATAAATAATAAATTAAAATAGATTTAAATTTAAATATAAAATTTATTAAATTAATTTAAAATATTAATATAAATAAATTAAATTTTTAAAAAAATTTTAAATTAATTAAAAGACAGTATGGCCTAAATAAAATTAATTAAAATAAAAATTTATTTAAAAATATTTATAAATAATAAATTAAAATGTATTTAAATTTAAATATAAAATTAATTAAATAAAAAGTGGAATAAAATAAATAAAAATAAAAATTAAATAAAAGATTAAATAATTAATAATAAATAAAATTAATTAAAATAAAAGTTATTTAAAAATATTTAAAAATAATAAATTAAAATAGATTTAAAATTTAAATATAAAATTAATTAAAATAAAATTAAAATAATAATATAAATATATTAAATTTTAAAAATTTTATAATTAATTAAAGACAGTATGGCCTAAATAAAATTAATTAAAATAAAAATTTATTTAAAAATATTTATAAATAATAAATTAAAATAGATTTAAATTTAAATATAAAATTTATTAAATAAAAAGTGGAATAAAATAAATAAAAATAAAAATTAAATAAAGATTAAATAATTAATAATAAATAAAAATTAATTAAAATAAAAAGTTATTTAAAAATATTTATAAATAATAAATTAAAATTGATTTAAAATTAAATATAAAATTAATTAAATAAAAAGTGGAATAAAATATATAAAAATAAAAATTTAAATAAAAGATTAAATAATTAATAATAATAAAAATTAATTAAAATAAGAAGTTATTTAAAAATATTTATAAATAATAAATTAAAATTGATTTAAATTTAAATATAAAATTAATTAAATAAAATTAAAATATTAATATAAATAAATTAAATTTTAAAAAAAATTTTGTAATTAATTAAAGACAGTATGGCCTAAATAAAATTAATTAAAATAAGAAATTATTTAAAAATATTTATAAATAATAAATTAAAATATATTTAAATTTAAATATAAAATTAATTAAATAAAAAGTGGAATAAAATAAATAAAAATAAAAATTAAATAAAGATTAAATAATTAATAATAATAATAAAAATAATTAAAATAAGAATTTATTTAAAAATATTTATAAATAATAAATTAAAATTGATTTAAATTTAAATATAAAATTTATTAAATTAATTTAAAATATTAATATAAATATATTAAATTTAAAAATTTTTAAATTAATTAAAGACAGTATGGCCTAAATAAAATTAATTAAAAATAAGAAGTTATTTAAAAATATTTATAAATAATAAATTAAAATGTATTTAAAAATTAAATATAAAATTAATTAAATAAAAAGTGGAATAAAATAAATAAAAAATAAAAAATTAAATAAAGATTAAATAATTAATAATAATAAAAAATAATTAAAATAAGAATTTATTTAAAAATATTTATAAATAATAAATTAAAATTGATTTAAATTTAAATATAAAATTTATTAAATTAATTTAAAATATTAATATAAATATATTAAATTTAAAAAAAAATTTTAAATTAATTAAAGACAGTATGGCCTAAATAAAAATTAATTAAAATAAGAAGTTATTTAAAAATATTTATAAATAATAAATTAAAATAGATTTAAATTTAAATATAAAATTAATTAAATAAAATTAAAATATTAATATAAATAAATTAAATTTTAAAAAAAAATTTTATAATTAATTAAAGACAGTATGGCCGAGTGGTTAAGGCGGTAGCTTTAGGCGCTATTGAACGAAAGTTCGCGTGGGTTCGAATCCCATTGCTGTCATTATTTTTTTTTTATTTTTATTATTTTTTAATTTTTTTTGTTTTAAATTCTTTATTCTAAAAGTAAAAGAAATTTTATGAGAAATTAAAAGAAAAATAATTTGTTGTTTTTGTTCTAATTATTTTTTTTTAAAATTTCTTCTCTTTTTTTGGAATTTTTTGTTTGCTTTTTTTGATGAATTTTCAAAAGGTTTTTTATTCCATTTTGGATTAAATTCTTTCATACTTTTTGAACTTCTAGAAGTATTTTTCTTATTTCTCTTTTTTCCACCTCCAAATTTAATATCTTTCATTCTTCTTTTTTTACTTTTTGTTCTTTTTTTTTGATTTTGATTTTCATTTTCATTTTCATTTCGATTTGATTGATTTTGTTTTGGTTTTTGATTTTTTGGGAAATTAATTAAAGAATTTAAATCTTCAGTTGTTTCTCCTTTTTTTTTTCTTTCTTTTCTCCATTTTTTAACTGCTTCAATTTGAGATTTTTTTTGTTCTGCTTTTTCTTTTAATCGATTTGCTTGAATTTGTTTTCCAAATTTTCTCATTTGAATTTTTCTTCTATTTTCTTCAACATGTTCAATTTTTTTTTGTTGAACTAAAATGAAATTTTTCACTCTTTTCATTTGATGATCATTTTTCATCATTTCTGCAAAATAATCTTGAGGTCTTGCTATTTTTATTTGTGCTTCTTTAAGTTTTTCTTTGGCAATTTTTATTGCTTCTAAAGTTGCTTTTTTACTAAAATAAATTTTAAATTTGATTTTAATTTTATAAATGAATTTTAATTTTAATTTTAATTTTAATTTTAATTTTAATTTTAATTTTAATTTTAATTTTAATTTTAATTTTAATTTTAATTTTTATAAATTATTTACAATTCTAAATTAATTTGGATATCATCATTTGGATTTAATCCTTTTGGTAAAGTTGTTGAAACAACCATATTTTCTTCCCAAGAAAGATTTTGACCTAAATTAAGAAGTAATTCATTAACTTTATTATCTAATGCATTAGCATCATTAATGAATTCAGTTTTTTCTTTGTGTAAATATCTTCTTGAAGGAACAATATTTGTATTTTGAATAAATTCTTCAGGATCCACATCAATTTCATTTTCAATTTCATTTTCATTTTCATTTTCATTTTGATTTTCATTTTCATTTTCATTTTCATTTTCATTTTCATTTTCATTTTCATTTTCATTTTCATTTTCAATTTCATTTTCATTTTCATTTTCAATTTCATTTTCATTTTCATTTTCAATTTCATTTTCATTTTCAATTTCAATTTCATTTTCATTTTCATTTTCAATTTCATTTTCATTTTCATTTTCATTTTCAATTTCATTTTCATTTTCATTTTCATTTTGATTTGTCTTGGTTTTTATGTCTGCATTTGGTTTTAAATTTTTATTTATTTTTTGTTTCCGAAAATTCATTATAATTTATTTTTGTTTTATTTAATTTAAAATTGAAAGGAAAAAAAATGAAAAAAAAAAATTAAAAAAAATTTTTTTCTTTTTGTTTTTCTTTTTTAAAAAAAAGAAAATATAAATTTTAAAAATTTGAAAATTAAAAATAAAAGAAGGATTAAAATAGTAATTAGAATAAATCTATTAATAAAAACATCAGGTGGAATTATTTTTTTGTGTTTCTTTAATTGTTGTTTTGTTTGATTTGTTTTTTCTTTTGTTATGTTAATTTTCCAATATTCTAAACAATTTTTTTTCATTTCATCAAAATTTCCAGAATTATCAATAATCCAATCAGCTCTTTTGCATTTTTCTTTAAGTGACATTTGAGATTTAATTCTATCTCTTGCTTCTTTTTCTGTCATTCCTCTATTTTTCTTTTTTTTTTTAAATCAAATTTTTTATCCGATTTAGATTTATATTTATATTATTTCGATTTATATTTTGATTTAGATTTATATTTAGATTTATATTTTGATTTATAATTATATTTATATTTATATTTAGATTTAGATTTAGATTTAGATTTAGATTTATATTTATATTTATATTTATATTTATATTTATATTTTGATATAAAATTACAATCAATCTTTCCACTTGAGTTTCTTCTTCAGAATAAACAACAATTGTTTGATGGAAAATCTTTTCCATTTTTGCTTCAAATAATAAAGGAACTTCAACAACAACAACTTCACAACCATTTAAACAAGCAATAATCAATTCCCAAATCATTTGGAAAATAATTTTTGGATGAGTAATTTTTTCTAATTTCCGTTTTTTTTGAGGATCTTGAAAAATAATTTCTCCAAGTTTTTTTCTATTGATTTCTTTATTTGGTAATAAAATATCTTCTTTTCCAAATTCTTTAACAATAGCTTGATATCCTTTTTCTCCAATTTGTGAAATTTGATGTGCAATTTTATCCAAATCAATTTTTCTCACTTTTTTATTTGGATCAAGTTTAATTAAAAGTTCACAAACAGTAGATTTTCCTGTTCCAATTCCTCCAGTTAAACCAATAATTTTCATTTTTAATTTAAATTAAAAAAAAAAGAAAAAAAATGAAATTTGATTTTTTTTTTTATTATTTAAAAAATTCAATCAATTCTTCTTTTCGATTGAATTAATTCCAATAATTCTTGTAAAGTATCCATTTCAATTTCTTTTTTTTCAAAAATAACATCATAATGTTTTGAATTTTGAACAAATTTATTAACTTTTTGTGCTTTTTCAAGAAGTGTTATAACTTGAGTAATTGGAGATTTATTTTGATTTAAATTTTCTTTTTGATTTAAATTTTCTTTTTGATTTTCTTCTTGATTTTCTTTTTGATTTTCTTTTAAATTTTCTTTTTGAGTTTGAGAGATTTTTTTCAATATCATCTACATTAAGTGCTTTTAATTCTTGAGATTTTGTTAATTCTCCTGATTTATCTAATTGGAATGAACGCCTCAAATATTTTTGTTGATAACTCTTTTTTGGTTGATATTGATATTGATTCTGTTTTTGATTTTGATTTTGTTTTTGTTTTTGATATTGATTTGGATTTCTTTTTTGATTTGAATTTGGTTTTTGATTTTGATATTGATTTTGGTTTGAATTTTGTTGTTTTTTGTTTCCTGAAGTCCATTTATGAGTTGTTTTTGTTTTTTTAATAAAAGTTCTTGGTGTTTTTTTTTTAGGTGTTTGATTTTGATTCATTTTTTATTATTTCAAAAAAACAAGAAAAAAAATGAAAAATGAAAAATGAAAAATGAAAACAAAACATTTGAAAGTTATTTTTGTTTTTTTTTAATTTTGTTTTTTTTAAATTTTTGTTTCCAAAAAAAAAAAAATAGAATTCTAAAAAAGAAAGAAAGAAAGAAAGAAAAAATTAAGGAAAAATTAAGGAAAAATTATTTATCAAAAGCAAAACCTAAAGAATCCAAAAATTCAATAATTTGTTGATACAAATCAGGTTCAGATTGTTGAATGAAATTATGAAAATTAACGGAAGAATTTTGATTAACAAAAATTTTAAGTTGATTAATAAAAAATTCTTTTGGATTTGGCAAAACAAAATTATCATGAATTTTTGTAGTTGAAAAAATCAATAAAGAAAAACGAGTAGAAAATTCAACTTTTGTATTAAAATCCAATTCTTCAACTTGTTTATCATCGTTAAGTTTTGACATTTTATCAGCTTGTTTTTCTGTTGTTTTTTCGTAATTATTGATTAGTTCAAGAATACTCAATAAAATTCTTGTCCAAAATGGACTGAAATTTTTTTCGAGAATTAGTTTTGATTCTGTAAGTAATTTTGTTAATCCAATAATTGAAATTCTTTGTTCTTTGTGGTTGTAAATTTTAGATACTACTGGAAGAATGTAAGCATCAAGAAGTCTTTGAAATAATCCTTCTTGAAGCATTTCAACTTGTTTTACAAATGTAAGAACATCATTTCGTGAAATGAATAAGAAAGTAAAAATTGCAAGAAGTCTTTTGAATTTTTCTGTTTTGTTTTTTTCTAGTCTTAATAAAATTATTCGAATAATTCTTTCTAAGAAAGGAAGGATGTGTGAACTAATTTTAAATAAAATTAAATTAAATTAAATAAAATTAAATAAAATTAAATTAAATTAAATTAAATTAAATTAAATTAAATAAAATTAAATAAAATTAAATTAAATATTTTAAATATTTTAAATATTTTAAATATTTTAAATTGTTTACAGATCTATATTTTTGATAATAGAATTCAAAATATTAAAAGCTTCCACTTCATTTGCACGAGAAGCAATAAGTTTCTGAAAAATACCAAGAACAGCTTCAAGTTGTTGTTTTTCAAGAATAACCTGAGAAGCCTTTGAAAGGAAGCTTTGAATAAACCTTGACAAAGCAGGAACATTTCCACGACTTTCCCACAAAGGAGAAGATAAGATTGTGAGGAAAACAGAGAAAAAACTATTTGAAATATTCTGACCAGAAAGCTCAAGCATTTGGGAGATGATCTGAAAAACATACGGTGATAAATCAGTGCCTTCTTGCTGAAGAACCTCATCAAACGCAGGAAATAAAACTTCATCAAAACTTTGAAGATCTTGATTTTCAGACTTGCAATTTCGGATCAACGCAGCAATTGACTCGAACAGATAGTGGTTGAACATCGGGTTTGTAGGATTCTTGCAGATATCGAGTAGAATAGAACAGAGCTGTTTGAGAGCAACCTCTGCGTAAGGGAGAATATATGATTTTGCAACAACAATAACGCGCAAAATTGCCTTCATCACATAGTCGTTGACTTTTTCATCAGGAAATGTCAGAATCGAGAATAGATTCTCAAGAAGCGACTCGATAAACGGTTTGATATCATCATGAGTAAACCGACTCAAGCGCGTTTGAAGATCTCGACTGATCAAAAGCTTCTCAATTACTATTGATGAATAAGTGTTCAAAACATATATTTGAGATGTTAATAAACGAATCAAATAGTTGAATATCCCAATCAACTCCTCTTTCGGCAATTGGTTCCTAAACGAAAGTACGAACTT